ATGGTGTATTGTGTGTCCAGGGCACAGCTATGAGCGTCACAGGCCCAGGGGACAATGGGCATAGGCTGGGCCCTGCGGATGGGGGGCACAGGGGTGTGACCCTCCTGGGGTCCCAGGGGTAACAAGGGCTATGCTGATGCTGAGGAGGACAGGAGAGCTCCATCCCTAGGACAGGAAAGATCCGTGCATGCTCCACATCCCAGCACTCAGCATCGATCCAGAGCTCATGCAGGCAATGGCTGGCTATGCCCCAGGAGTGAGGGCTGTGACAGGTCTGTCACTGCTGGGGAGTCCCAGTGGTGGCCATGGCAATGCTGATACTGAACAGGACAGGAGAGATCCATCCACACTCCCATCCACGCTTCATCCTGGCATCCAGCATTGATCCAGAGGTCATGGCAGCATAGGCAGGGAATGAGGCGGAGATGAGATGTGACCTTCCTGAGAGGTCCCAGGGGTGATGATGGTAATGCCAATGCCAAACAGGACAGCAGAGGTCCATCCATCCCCCATTCCATCACCCAGCACTGATTCAGAGGTCATGGCAGTGTCAGCTGCTCTCTGGGGATGAGGTGGTGTGACAGGCCTGTCCCTCCTGGGAGGTCAGGGGTGACCATGGCAATATGATACCAAGAAGGACATGAGAGGTCCACTCGCAGGACAGGAAAAGATTCATCCATGGTCCATCCCATCATCCAGTGTCGATCTGGAGGTCACAACAGCAGTATCAGCTGCTGCCTGGCGTGGCTGGAGAAGCCAAGTCCCGCCCCATGCTGGAGAAAAACCCCTGGGGCTGTTCAGAACCCCAAACCCTGTCCTGGCACTTTGCAACACAAAAACCAGTTCTGAACCCAGTACAAAGCAGAGGTCAGGATACAAACCCCTCCCACCCCAACCCTGCTTGCTGGGTAACTATCCCAGGAAAAGAGAAACAATGCCAACACTTAAATACAGCTTCATAAATATTAAGTCATGAAAAACTGGAGCCTTGGTTTGCTTCCCTCCTGGTAAAATAAAAAAAAGAACAAATATGAGTCAGGAGGGAAGAAAAGTGTCTAATATAGACAGTTATTCCAGGTATAAAGTGTAAATCTGCTGGAGCAGGGGAGGGAGAAGGGAAAATCCAGCAGAATCTTCCCCGAGTCGACCCTTTGGGATCTTCTGTGATGGTAAATCAGTGAGAGAAGGTTTGAGAGCCCTTGAGAACCCAACAGCCACTGTCCTGCTCCACGCCCCCAGGGGATCCACGTCCCTGGAGTAAGGCCATTCTGCTTTGTCTTTTGGAGAAAAAAACAACAGAATTTTAAAAAAACCAAAACCTTTTCCTTAAAAAAATAATCAACTTGTGTCATATCCACTCGAGAAGGGGACGGTGGGGAGAGAGAAGGTTTGAGAGCCCTTGAGAACCCAACAGCCACTGTCCTGCTCCACGCCCCCAGGGGATCCACGTCCCTGGAGTAAGGCCATTCTGCTTTGTCTTTTGGAGAAAAAAACAACAGAATTTTAAAAAAACCAAAACCTTTTCCTTAAAAAAATAATCAACTTGTGTCATATCCACTCGAGAAGGGGACGGTGGGGAGAGACTTGGCTCTGAAATATCCACTAAAAAACTCCTACAACACTAGTCCCTGGAGTAAGGCCATTCTGCTTTGTCTTTTGGAGAAAAAAACAACAGAATTTTAAAAAAACCAAAACCTTTTCCTTAAAAAAATAATCAACTTGTGTCATATCCACTCGAGAAGGGGACGGTGGGGAGAGACTTGGCTCTGAAATATCCACTAAAAAACTCCCTTCCTACAACACTACATTCATTTCCTTTCACAAGGAATTAGCAGAGCAATCTTTAAATTCATTTTTATAGCTCTATAAAAAAAGAATGAAGTATCCCATCAG